TGAGATCATGGAAAAGCGCTGACCACCGGCTAACCCTGCCTCATACCGCTTCTTTGTAATGATGAATATTAGACAGAATGACAGCAAACAGAATGACAATAACTTCAGAGGCAAATAACTCCCCTTTTTAAAGTAAAAACAACAGGATTAATAATGACATAATTGAAAATCCAATGTATATCAACTCACATCTTTAAATGTCTTGATAGCTTCGCGCAATCTCCCTTGTTTTCGAGCACACATTGCAAGACGACGCCGTATGTAGATTTGCATGTGGAAATCGCGTCCTTTGAAAAAAAAAAAATTGAGAAATCCTAACAATAAACGTTTTGTACGAAAAAGAACTTGAAGGAGTATATTGATATGAGGCAAGCTCACCCAAAAATTATCAAGAAACCTACTTCTTGCTTGTCTATATATATCACCAGTGCGCTCATGTGGAACTATTTGTCCAGATTGTGACTGTCCCAGACTATTGTCTACTGCTTTCAAGGCTCGCCTAGATAGGTTATCACGTTTAGGATTTTTATAATCCATACAACAAAATAATCCGTTGGCTACCTCAACATTACTTCGGCTTCAACGATGGTTTCGCATTGTTCCTCTGCCAATAATATCAATGCTGGAGCACAGTTTGGGTTTATGTGCAGCGCTTCACGAGCTGCGTTTATACGTGAGGCGCTGTCCCTCTCCCGCCAAGCTACTTGCATGACTAAATCAAGCACCATGGTGAAGGAGAAGTTATTATTTCATTCAACGAAAAGGATGCTATATCTGAAACCACAGTGAATAAAAGGGACAATTTAGCTTTGATTTACATTAGCAAGAAACATCAATATAACGCACAGAATGTAGGTAGTTAATTGGAGTAAATTTGCTGTTGTAACTCACTATCATAATCCGGTCGTCCAACGTCTTCATCACAAGTGAAAAAACTCTGATGGTCTTGCGCGGAAAGATTCATGTCATAATAAGTAAGAGGATCAAGATCCATGACCGTTTTTACACGGTTGTACTCTGCACCGCGGAATAGAGCCATTGGATTTCGCCAAACCTTGCATTCTACAAAAAAATTCAAGAAAATGGAGAATAAGAAGAAC